TGAGAGCCTCTAAAAGGAATCTGCTGTTCATGAAGTACTGTTTCCCTTATTGAATACTTGTTCAATTACTGTTTTCTAACCAATCACATTAGGTTATCAACGATGTCATTTCTAAAACAAAACTACTCTTTGTTCTGCTAAAATATGTTTGCATGTTCCACTGTTCTGATTTCGCAAACGCAAAAAACGATGGATCACAAGTGAAGATTGATACATGTCTCGGAAAACAAAATTCACACATTGTTGGAATGTATTCATGAAATGTCGAATCGTAGTGACTGATTTGATCTCTCCCTAAAACATTGGTCAATGTGGACCGATACATAAAGGCGGATGACCATTTGTCTTGGCTCTAAATGCGTGGAATGATTTCCAGACATACTTATTGTGTCATTATCATCTGATTCAAGCCATCTGTGTTATCATTTTGTTAACTTATGTATACCATGTAAGGATGGAGTTGCACATTTGACTACTTATACCAGGTTGGCATACATGTATTTCTGGTTAGACAATTGACAGAGTGCATGTCCATAAAACGGTAATTAGTAGAGGTAAGTATGATCGCATGGTTATATTTGGTTAGTGATAAGGATCTATCTTATTCTATAGTAATATAATTATATACTAAGTTATAGCAATAACACGAACAGTTGTGCTGGCGCATGATAAATTGGTTAAAATACCAGACAATATATTAAGGGAAATGCATATATTTCAAAGCATTAGATTATGACAACTTTGCCAAGTAAGACTAAATTTACGTTAAGAGATGGTTTTAGTTGAGTTGAATGTAATATTAAAGAAGAATAAAACAGAAGTAATTTCGAAATGGATAACGTCGTACTTGCCTCAATTGAATAATTCGACTGCATCTGAATATTTCCCCAAACAATTAGCAACTCATGTTTTTGATGACTGTGGAAAAGACTTTTGCCTACATCATGTTTTTTGAACTACCTGTATGTGCAGCTTATTCACGTATCGTTGTCATACAAGCAGATTGTTGCGGTTGCTTGTTTAATTGCAGCACCAACATAATCTTTAAACAGTAGAAGCAAGCACCTGGCTTGTTAATGGCATTGCAAGCCTGAGATAACTGCAATTTTGTTTAGATCATTACTATGTCCTCTTTTATGTGATCATAAAGAAAACTGATCGAGTCGAGAAGTACACATTCTAGTAAAGTCTAGTTTAAATATTGGAATAACGCCAGTGTCTCGTTGTAGACTACTGCTCTTCTAGAATGGTACCGTAGTCATGATTTTCTATACTTTCCTCACAAATCTTTTGATGTTTGACTTTAGTATATAAATGTGGCATACACTTGGTATCATAGGGCACCTAGATTTACTGAAGGTACATCAAAACAAGACACTTTGTCACTTTATATAAGGAATATTTGTTGATTTTGATGTTATGGCGGCCATCTTGGGAAAACCTCCATATTGAAATTTCAAGTTGGGTCCATAGCTACTATTGTTCGAAGCACATGGGAATTGTGACATATGTTTTCTTCTGAAGTATCGGAATAAAATTGTAACTTTGATTGTTTTGATATGTTATAAATACCAGTTTGCTTAATTCTGTCTCCTTTTGTGGATTGTATGGAAAGTAAGAAATGTATAAGACACTTAATGCGTGATTTGAGAAATGGGTGATACGTAAATTTGCTATTCTTAAGAATTGCTTGGTTTCAAATTGTGGTCCGTCGATGATAATACATTTGTCTTCTCTATTTATTTCGTGGTTGTATTTTTTATGTTCATATGCTTTGTTTTTTATTGCGTACACTTGAAAATATCACAAAGTACGTGTTGCTATTATTTAAACGCCAGTCAATTGTTTGAATAAAATAAAATACGATTGCAATTTTACTCTGATGCATTGTACGAATTAATAATAAAAAAATAATCGTATTGCTGTCTTTATATAAAAAAAAAGAAGATGTGGTATGATTGTCAATGTGACAACTCGCCGCAAGAGACCAAATGACATAGAAAATAACGTTATATGTCACCGTATGGCCTTCAACAATGAGCAAACCCCATACCGCATAGTTAGGCTGTTTTTAGAAATAGACTAATTTATTCTGCAATGTTAGAAATAGACTAATTTATTCTGCAATGTTAACAGGCGACTTTAAAAAAACTGCTTAATTCAAATTTACAGAAATGTAACCTGTCTATGATGAGTTTATTTATATACATGTGCAGTAAGGTCTTCGACATTTCAAAATGGCTGCTGTTACCATTGAAACTGCATGTGTGAGGATTTATGTTTTGTTTATTTTGTGTTAAACTGTTTAAATATTGCATATCGATCCGAAATGAGCAAAATATTTAGAAATCATGTTACATGACGTATGTAGATATACAGTTGGGTGCAGACCAAATATAACATAAAGTAAACGCACATCAACGCTGCGTGCACATATTTCATTTGTTAGCTCCAATTTTCGCGTTTAACGCGGTCAACATTGAAACGCGCGTTAACTCTGTGTCCGTTTAGTCAGTAGTTAACGGACGTTTACTACAGATCTTACATCTTTACTGGTACATGCATTTAGAAAACGCGCATTTACTCTTCCCGTTAACTATTTGTGAAAATTAATAATACCGTTTTATTCTTGTTAGAAAGATTTTTAGGTTTAAAGTTTGAATATAAAACAATAACTTTTTTTAAATTACTTTCTATCCGATTCTAATGAAATATGTTAATCTTGATTTCATTAACATTTAACACTTTTATTTTCTTTATTTATAATGGCTTATTGGTCATATGTTGCAAATGATAAATTAATAATATATCGCTAAAAAATATTTTCAGAAATTATTGGGTAATTAAATACTGCAAAGCTTAAAAAGCCAACAATATTCGTTACAGTAGATTTAACTAGGCAATGCTTCCAGACTTTATGAAATTTTCTTTTTAGACAATTCACTTACTTCAATAAAGGCAACAGTAGTATACCGCTGTTCAATAGTCATAAATCGATTTAACTGAAACAAATCCGGGTCACAAACCAAAACCGAGGGAAACACATCAACTATAAGAGGAAAACAATGGAACAACATAAACACTAGTACTGAACTGCTACAAAAACAAACGCCAACATACATAGAAACGGACTATTTGATAACAACTGCCATATTCAAAATATTTGCTGTAGTTCATTATTTACTGCATGTATCAATGATTGTGTTGGTCGACCTAGATATACGATGTATAACGTCAATTTTATTAAACCTATTCATCCCTGCAGACCACAGAAATTTCTTTTTATAAACTTGAAAAATCCGTCTAAATAATTCCTTCCCTTTTATGCATACATTGTAACGATCCATCCTAAGGTATAAAAAGAAAATTTATCAGGCCAGTACAAGCTTTTGTTATATAAAAAAAATATACTGGCAATTTTCATTGTTATCGACATAAATATTAGTAACTGTAAACTTAAAGAGCACTCAAGTTGTGTAAAACTATTCATCCTTAGGTACCAAAAGAACAGAATTTTAATGCCGTTGTATAATATTCTAACAAAAAGGAAAATATAGGCACCTTTTGTTGATTGTACAACAAATTTTGGAATTTAAAACTTAATTTCTCCACTTTTATGCCTAACAATCCATCCTGAGGTAAACAAACGTATTCAATTATCAGGCCAGGACAAGAATATTAATAAACAAAAAGAAATATTGGCACATTTTATTGTTATCGACATACAGACTTATAGAGCTCTCATTTTTTGTAAAATTATCCATCTGAGGTACCAAAAGAATAATCAGAGAAAAGGTGGCACCATTTATAGATAAATACAACAAACACGTCAATTTGAAACCTAATTCCTTCACTTTTATGTCTGAAATAAAATTGAGAATGGAAACGGGGAATGTGTCAAAGAGACAACAACCCGACCAAAGGGCAGAAAAACAGCCCAAGGCTACCAATGAGTCTTCAGCGAGGCGGGATTCATGTGGCCCCTAAACAAAAATGTGTACTAGTTTAGCGAAAATGGACGTCACATAATCTCCAAAACATATAAATGAACCAAAATTGAAAAAAAAATCAATCTTAAGGTATAAAACGTAGTCTATTATGAGGCCATTACACGAATATTATAAAAAAATTAGAAATATTGGCACTTTTTATTGTTGTTGACAAATGTTTTAGTAAACCTAAACTTATGAAGCTCATATTCCCTGTGAAGATCCCGAATACCATATAATATATTTCATATAAAAACAACATATTATATTCATATAAAAAAGAAACTGATATCAATATAAAAACAACATATTATATTCATATGAAAAAAAATGATATCAGTATAAAACATTCTTTATAACACAAATAAACTTATAATGATAACAAAGTACGTCCCGAAATTTGTTTCCGTTCTCTAACTTTAGTTTGCCTTGACCAAATGTTATGAAGCGTATACACATTGCGTATTACCACTAAAATCAGACACGTTCAAATATGGGTGGCGTCACTTTTATGTCTGAAATAAAATTGAGAATGGAAACGGGGAATGTGTCAAAGAGACAACAACCCGACCAAAGGGCAGAAAAACAGCCCAAGGCTACCAATGAGTCTTCAGCGAGGCGGGATTCATGTGGCCCCTAAACAAAAATGTCAAATAGGAATTATGTTTTTGGCAGATAATTGATAGCCTCTGGGAAATTCACTCACATTTTGTTTACATATACTGAACACTAGATAGGCTAAGTGTACAGATCGTAAGTGTCCTTTTTAATCAATCGGTAACTGTCTCGTTGTCGTGTAATCCAATTCTCCTTTTATTTATATTTACAGTTCAGACTTTTTACTCAAGTAACAATTATTTGATCATGTCTACTCCTGTAGTCTAAATAAGTGAAAAATAAAACGAAGAGAATGTATTTACGAAGTATGTTGTCTCTGGCATTAAAGGGTCCCCATGCAATATAGATATTGAAGGCTAACAAGTGAACATCATTCAACTTTTTCCCTTTCAGAAACAGCAATTGTTGGTACAACAATTCAGCTTCTGTGTCAGTTTTTAAATGGAAGCAAATGGCAGAAATTTGACAGCCCGACTGGTTTTTGGAAATATATATATGATGGTGCAAAGTACTCCGGTACCTCTTCTAGAGCCCTCACAATATCTAATTTTCAGATAGAAGATTCTGGAAACTATAGGTGCTTGGCCGGCATGACCGGACCTGGAGGTAACACCACAAGGCTCAATCCTGAAAGTGAGTTAAAATGAATTCATTACGTTCTATGTTGTATAGCACTGGACCTCTTAATCATAAGATTACTTATTAAAAATACAGTTTCTACGGTTTTCATCAAAACATCGGTTACCAATTTTTCAAGGATAAAGCACAGTTTTTTTTATCAAGTACGAATGATTTTGGTTATTGTATAAGTTGAATATTTATCGGTCCGAAAAAATTGCTTTTGGGAACCCGCACATATTCATATAATCCTGGATTGTACTAATAAAGTTCTGTTGAATAATAAAACCGTGTTTACCAAAACAACAGACATCGTGAGTGTATAGAAGAAGTCATATTTATGATTTAAGCAATTTTGTAATATTCGATTAAAATTTTACAGGAGAAGAATGAATTGTAAACATGGTAAATACATGTGGTCAGACGAAGCCCAAAATAAAGAGTTAACAACATTATAAAACGTATAAATGATAAACAAAAAAACATGTAAAAACATTTTAAAAAAAATGCTACAACAGGTATAAACTGATTAGTAATAAAGGGATTATCAATAACTTTGTTTTCACTTAGCAATGATATGTTTTCAGTCAAAAAATTAAACAATTTGCGAGAAATTCATATAGTTCTATAATAACAATTACCCCTTCCTTGCCTCATCAACTCTAGATAGAAATCATTTCGTTCGGGATACGACACTTCTGAAATTGTAACAATTCTTTTTAAAAAATCATCAGAAAAAGAGCGTGTAAGTCAAATAAAATGAATTGAATTAGAATACTGCTTCCGAAGGGGACGTTGCTATCGTCTTAAAATTGGATTTTTGTCGAGCCTTTGACATTTATGTCGCAAAAGCGAAACAAAACGATCACAGATTCCGTCGTCGGTGTCGTCAACATTTAGTTTCAGTCTGTGGTTAAAGAGTTTTTTTGACATTAATAACATTGTTCCAACCTTCGTCGCATTTTATGAAATTGGACAGAAGCTTGTTTATGATCAGTATATACAGAATCCAGAGCAAAATATAGAAAATTTTTATTTCATTTTGCAGTATTTATTAATGGAGTTTTATTTTTACAGTTAACAAGTAGATACAGTATTGATTTAAAAAGTGTTACACATCAATGACTTTGTCAATTCTTCATAGAATTTTATGAATTTTTGGCAGAAGCAATTTGTGATTAAAAGATAATGTCTGAAGAAAACTTTTTTTTTTTTTTTTTATTTTGTAGTATTTTTCTGGTAGATGGACTTAGTTTTTTACAGTTACCATTTACAGACAGTCTGGGTTTAAATTTTTTTGACATGAAAAATTTGTAAACCTTCATGGATTGTTATAAAACTTGAACAGAAGCTAATCTTCAAAACTGAGAAAATAACTTTAAAGAACATTTTTGATTTTTTTTTAAATTCTGTTTTTTACTGATAAGTGGACTCACTTTTTCAGTCAAAACAACACTTTTACACTGTACTGACTGCAGCAATCGCAGGCTAGACACAGGGTCCCGCGGAACCATTTACGAATGTTAGTTTACCTAAATGAAACAATAGTTGAATAAGGCTGTCATGGATCAGAAAACCTATGCATGATTCAGATAGAAGAAAATGAGCGTCTTCGTACGTTATATACAATCACATATAACTAATCTTGTGTGAATCGACATTTTGGCATAATTAATGAACCCTGCTCCAGCAGATGACGAAAGAATAAGGTTTTTTGGTTAATTTCATACATTGGAATGCGAAAATGACATGAAACATGTTTGTTTTTTATTGACATCTATAATATAAGATTTCTGCATGTAAAAGGTTACTAGTTTTTACTTTTTACCTCTAAAAATGAATTTCATAGATACTGATTATTTAAAACGAAAGGGATAAGAAACCAGAAGCTTTCATACCTAGAATGATTGCATTATTTTCGTTAATTCATTTTGAAGTTAAAACAAGATATTATGAACGTATTTTTAACTTAACATTAATCTAAAATATAATTTGAATTCGCAATTTGTTTGTCGACGATTTTAATTTGTCATCGTCATATTTTTGAGGGGTAAATTCCGCGGTCTACCGGTCTGTAACTAAGGTAAGTCGCCATTTTGAATACCGGATTTTATAAGGTATTCAATTCCTTCAAAAATAAACGTAAAAGTCACATTTTTTTTTAACATGAAAACCTTTATTTTGTCAATATTTATATAATGCTGAAGCGTTCGCAAAGTATAAATTGACTGGTGTTTACGTTAGTGTATGAGTTCATGATGTTTATGTCAAAGACTAGAACAAGTTTCGCGGAATTCTTTAATAAAGAGAATTAGAAACAAAAATAATAATGAAAATGGAACTTAGTGATTACGTTGCATTAGAATGGAGATTATCGTTTTGTTTTTTAAAGCCTGGCCTACGTTAAACTTGGTTTTACTATTGCAAACAACGTTTTTTCTCATCGTTGAAGGCTGTACGGTGACATATAACTGCTTATACTCACGTTGTTTAAACTCAAGTGGATAGTTGTCTCACTGGCAATCATACCACAACTTCTTTTTTTTATATAAACAAAAAAACTTTTAAAGAATGTCAATTTTGGTTGCTTTTAGTTAAGTTCACGTATAGAGATAGTATATCATGAGTGCATCATATCACTTCTTTTTCATTTCAAATAGACGGAAGCAAAGAGTGTAATGAATAAAAAAAAATGATATTTTAGTAATGATCGTTACGGGAAAGGTCTCATGTCTTAATATCGAAAGTAGATAAAAATACGTTTGCGCGCATGGTATATAATACTACAAGGAGATAACTCAGCTGAACGTTTTAATCACGTTCTATTGTTAAGGCAATATTAAGCTTCTCAATGATCAAAATTAGCGTTTGTCAAACTGCTATATATCCAATGAAATTTTTCCGATAAAGTGTGTGGTTCAGGTTTTGTGAAATTTTTATATTTTTGTCAAAGGGTCAAAGTTAATATTTTGTCAAAATTTTATGAAAATTAAACGAGTCAAATTAATTTTAGTCAAGGTGTTTGGTACCACCTTAATTTTATTAACGATTGCTTGCAATAAATTGTTACATTTTGGCGTTTACACATGTAAATTTAAAGATAATTCATTCAAATTGTATACTTTGAAAAAGTTTAAATTTTTTTGAATATTGATGAAAACGTGTTTTTTTTTCATATTCAGATAATAATTTCTATTCTAAAGTGTATTAAATGATTATAAGAAATCCCGTTAGAGCTCAAGACATTTATGTAACCATCTGCAATAGCAAAGAGTGACGATCCGCAAATGAAATGCACCGAATATGAGACTTTGAGTAAAATATTGGTCATGGAATATACAATATAGTTTAAATATTAGCTCTAAAATTTATCCACCAAAATTTTAGTTTAAGTTTTAGTTTTTGGTATCATATGCGTTGATAATTTTGGTCAAACATATCTCCACTCTCTAAAGAACACGTTCTTTACAAGTTTAGCCTCCCAATGCCCATACATTCCTTAATTATATTTGGCGTCTTATCACGGCCGTCATTTTGAATCTCGAGAAAATATATCGTGAACGGTAGCCAAGCATTGCGATCGGATCGTGTAGAACCTATAATGGTCACATTAATCTTATAAATCAAAATTTTGTTAATTGTTAAATAAAAACTAAAATTCTCTAAATCTAAACATGCCACAAATTTGAAATTCCCGGAATCAATTTGGAATAGCATAGCATACATTATTGTCATTTTCCATTGAAATCCTACATGTTGTTTAAAAATATTTTTTTCAAAATTTGTGACTCTTTCAACCAAAATGAATGAGTTTTTATCAAAATTTTCCTCTTTTGTTTTTAATTCGACGACAAGGATAAATACTGTTAATTTAAATTAATGATATTCGATGAGACAATCTCCACTTATAATCTATATATTTAAATGACAAGACCTCATTTTGTGTGTCGCTTCTCTTCCTTCCACAATAAATTAATCGTCATGCCTCTGTGTCCTATAGGTACCATGCATAGTTGCATTTGTCATCATCGCTTATGATTATTCAGTTTGATATATTTTGGGAGGGAAACGAAAATAAAGGCGTCCGGATATTGTTTCCGTCATCGGACGGACTTTTAAGTCATAGACAAGACTTCCGTTATGGACTGTTTTAAAATTACACATAATTGTCATAAGTACTTGGGGACAGGACAATTATATTCGCGTTTTTCTGTATACTATGATCATACATATACTATAGATAAAGTGTATTTGCTATTTACTATCAATTCCAAGTTAACTATCCACGGCGGTCACTGATATATTATATAGAGAGCCGTGGAAAGTAAATTTGGAATTGATAGTAAATAGCAAATACACTTTATTTATAGTTTATGTATGTTCATAGTATACAGAAAAACGCGAAAATAATTGAAATTAACAGAAAAAAAATAATGGACTTTGGAAAAAAGGGGGAAGGCTAAAACAAATTGTCCTGTCCCCAAGTACCTATGACTTTTGATACCGTTCCTGAAATTCTGCAGTCATAAAATCTTTTACAAAAATTCATCCTACAACAGTTTACATACTTTCAACCACGCTCTTAATGCCCGCGATTTCGCGGGTGTGTTCTAGTACTTATAATATGACATAAGAATGCTGACAGACGGACAGCAGAGAGTAAGTGTTATAGGGCACTACGCATTAGTCGGCGTGGTCTTATTAAAAAACAAATTAATTGGCATTGAACAATCATAGCCCAACATGTTCGTTCCCCAACAAAGTGGAACCGGAAAAAGTCATGGAAATCCTAGTCTTTTGCTGTACTAGATACAATAAAAAAACTTCCAATTACATAAGATTTGAACGCTTTCAATTATTTGCGCAAAGACAAATAAGCGACATCAGATCGTTCACGATCCTTTTCACGATCACAAAAAAAGTGGTACTCGATCTTTCACGATCATTAGTATCAAATTTGTATAAATATTTCAATTTCGAACCCCTCTCTGATAAGCTACTACGAAAAAATTTTA